TTTTCATTTTCAAAATTACCATTTTTACAATTTAACAACTCTCTGGTAAGAGGACACCTCTTCATAAAGAACACTTTTGCTTTGCAACTAGGTGTCCTTTACAGAGAGGTTCTACTGTATTATCATTTTCAAATTTTATGATTGATTTGAATTAAAGAATTGTGAATTTTTAAAAGAAAGTTGGTCAGAATATTAAAAAAAAAAAAAAAGAAGTTAAAGACTGAGTTGTTTAAGAATTAAAATTATTTTTATAGGATTTTTTTCTCTCTTTTTCAATTGTGAAAAACAATTCTTCCCCTACTGAAATAAGGAAAATATTAGGAAAACCTGGCTTCATCAGTTGTGATCTCCTTCGTGGATTTTCCCAGTCTGCTCACTGCATTAAGCCCTTATCCTAGGCAACTACTAACACCAGAGTACACAATGAAACTGTGAGGAATTGGATTTTATAATACTACTACTAAAATACTAAACTTATTTTTAATATTTTTTAAAAGCAAAAATAGATAGCAACAATAACAAGCCATTGTAGATCTATGCCCTAAACAGGATTCACCCAGGTGTATAATTGTTTAGAAAAGTTGAGTTAATTATTTACAGGTGATCAATCATTTGCATATCTATTTACTTATGACTCTCTTTTCTTAATGTTTCTTCTCTTGCGCAGCCCTGTAAAACTTGTACAGGGCCAATAAATTGGATTTATTCTTTGTTGTCCTAGACAACAGAGCCTCCAGAACAAGATGAGAAAAATAGATAGAAGTACTAACAACACTTGGCTTAATAGATTATTTTTAAAAATGGGTTTTAAAATTCAACTTTAAAACAAGGTGAAACAAACTGTATTCAAAATTCTTTAATGGAGCCATTTCCATCTTTGCAACCACCACTTGATCAATATGTTTACCTATGTATTTCTCTAGCCAATCAGCAGCAACAGGTGTACTTTACCGTTAGCATATGCATCCATGAGAGCTAACTATATATGTTTTGGTGACAAAAAGAAAATGGACTGAGTCTCCAAGATGGCGTTGAGAAGTAAAAGAGAACTGATCAGCAATATAGGCACCAGATAAATATATAAAACAGATTATGGCATTTATATTTTGGTGATAGCTGGGACTTTAGAAGAAAGTTTTTAATATTGGTATTTAAGCAAATTTTTTATACCTTTAAACGCTTTGAGGAATAGTAGATATATATATATATATTGTTCTGAAAATAGAGCAATCCATATTTAAATCCTTAGACAATAAAATGTAATGCCTTGATAAAGGTTGGCGTTCAGCCAACCGAAATATTGGCAAATAAATCTTTTATTCAATCCAATATATGCCTTTTTATTATTTATATATATATATAGGAGCCGTTCCAATATTTCCCTTATTGCAGTAGGGGCAGAGAAAGAGTGGTGTATAGCACAGTTCCAATACCTGCCTATAAATGGCAGTAAGATGTTTAGTGTGTGTGAGAGACTTTCAGAATGACCAATAAGAATTGGTCCTGAACAATTTTTAATAGCAATAAACAATTTTGGATTACAAAGCAGCTTTTAAATCTCTAACATGTATATATATATAGCTGGTTTTATGATATTTTAGCAAACTCGTGTATATTTTCTATTATAAGTATATATAAATAATAAAGGTAGTATATACACTCATAGACAAAACTTAAGGAAGTTGTTTCTTTTTAGAATGTATATTGGGATTCAGACAATAACTCTGAAAGATATTAGAGTGACCTTTATTGAAGATACATAAGATAACCAAGTGTGAACAAAATTACCTCGTTCTCCATAAAAAAAGAAAAGATGACCAGCGATATCAAAATATAAAACTTCCTTAAGTTTTTTCCATGAGTGTATATGGTAAAGTATATTGATTTAGTTTTGTTTTTATTTGCATATAGGTGTCTATTTACATATAGGTTTTTGAATCTACATAGTTATAAGTAAGAGAAGATATTTTAAAGTAATGTTTTCTCTGGATGGATTGTTTGTTGATGTTACTTTACATGTCATATAGTGATGGACATTTGTCAACTCTCCTTGTATGGTATGATTCTACAAACTGACATTTTGGTGACTTACTGTCAACCATTTCATGATAAAACGTACTTTGAAAAAGGTAACAGTGGATTACTTTTTTTTTCTCTTGTCCCTCATTTTGGGTAGTATGCATCTGCTGTTAATCTACAATAGATTAGGAGCACTGTAGCAGTCCGACTTAGCTCCAAAGGGGTAACTGCCTCTAACATGAGGATAAACGTCACTGCAGCAGCTTCTAACATGATGAACAGACGCTGCCATGAAAATAACTGAAATGTCACAGTTAATAAAATCTCACCGCACAAGGTGTTGACAAGTGTTATATCAGATCTATAGATACAATATGCAACTATGATTTTCTCTACATTGTACTTAATGTTAGCCTTTCTCATGTCTTTCCCCTGTACCTGAACTTTCTACAAATCACTTGTACTTAGTCATCCTATCTTGTTAGCAATACATTGTGAAAGTACCACAATACTGTAAAGAAAGAAACCAATATATATATTAAGAAAATTTTAGTTTACAAATTTATTGAGAGTTTTTCCATATTTGATAATGAATTCTTTATATTATTGTTTTGATTTTCCGTTATATAACCACTCTTATCTTTTAACCTCTGTACTTATTGTCTTTGTTATGATTTGATCATTGTCATTTTTTACATTTGTGTATTCGCATAGTTTAATTTTTTTATCATTTTTTAATATATATATCAAATTACAAAACTATTTTAGACGCGTAATATTCTTTTTAAAATCAAACAATTTCTACTGCCCTTACTGCAATGGAAAAATTAAATTAAATTTAGGGCAGTAGAAATTGTTTTATTTTAAAAAGAATATTACGCGTCTAAAATAGTTTTGTAATTTGATAACAGATGGCGCGCTAGTGCATCAAAGTAATATATATATATCTTGGGTATTTTTCTTGTTTTTTTTTTTTTTTTTAATATAGTAGAATCTCCCTGAGTAGACTCCCTCGCTAGCAGACACCTCTATACAAAGAAGAGTTTTCATGGCCAGAATTACCATTTAGCTGATCTCTGATTAGAACATGAGTCTCTCTAATAGACACCCTCTCTATGCAACCAGGTGTTGCAAGAGATGGTGTCCATTCCACTCAAATACAGTAGAGATTGTCTCTAATGAATAACATGTAGTTTCACAACCAAAGTGCCCATTAGAGAGAGGTGTCCTCTTACTGGAGAGCTGCTAATTAGTAAAAAATGGTATGATAATGCACAATTTGGATTATAGATTAGAATTACAAGGTCTTCTTCTATCTTATATTCACTCAATCATATTAGGGTATCAAGCTTGTAGTGAAGTAGAATGCCTTTGTCATTAAAACTGGGAGCACTACTCAGTGGCAGGTTGACTTAGCTCCAAAAGAAATGACCACCTCTGACATGAGGAACAGACACCAGAATTATACAAGTTAATAAGACCAAACCCAAAATTTACACACTATTAATTTATATTTGATCTTATTACCTTGTTGTAAAACTGGTAATTCTCTGATAATGAAAACTGTCGTTTGTAGAGAGGTGTCCTCTAGCGAGAGTGTCTGCTCATGGAACTACTACTGTTCTTCAGGTACTATAGTAACTCTTCCATACTCAACTCCCCTAATGCAATCTTACATCTGTGTATCTCTATTTTTTATTCCAATACTCTCAGCTGTGAATGCTCTCTATTTCCATCCCTCTCCTATTTTTTAACAATAATACAGTTAGACCTGTCTATAGCACCCCCTCTAAATAGCGCCTTCCTCTCTATAGCGCCTGATTTTAAATATGTAGTACGATGCGATTTACATTAAAAGTGACCTGTCTATAGCTTCCCCTCTAAATAGCGCCTTCCTCTTTATAGCGCCCGATTTTAAATACGTAGTACGATGCAATATTTACATTAAAAGTAACCTGTCTATAGCACCCCCTCTCTATAGCACCCTATTTTGGTGAGTCCCAAGAAGGAGCGCTTTAGACAGGTTTAACTGTATTTGTATACAGAGTTACTGATAATTTTTTTTTTTTTTACTTTTGGGTGTTTTTTTAAAAATGTTTTTATTTACTTGTTTTCTTTCTCTATAGATTTTTCTCCATGTCGTTTTTTTATTCTTATATATATAATTATTTTATATACAGTAGAACTACCTCCCTGTAAAGGACACCTAATTGTAAAGCCAAAGTGTCCTTTAGGGAGAGATGTCCTTTTACTGGAGAGTTGCTAAATAGTAAAAATGATAATTTTGCAAATGAAAACTGTCCTTTGTAGAGAGGTGTCCACTAGTGGGATGTCCACTAAAGGGAGGTTCTACTGTATAAGACAAAAAAGCAATCACACTCAAAATAAACAAAATATAATCATTTAAAGAAGCCAATTTTTGATCTTATGGAATACTAAGAGAAATATTCAGGCTCTTTTCCATGCTTAATTAAAAAATATTTTTATTATTTATTTTCTATGTTAAATTAGATTTTAGATTTTTATTTATTTTTTATAGAGAGAGAGAGCATTTTTTTTTTGTTTTAAGAAAGACCGTTTTTTTTTTAAGTTTAGTTAAAATTAAAACTTTGTAATTAGTCATTAAAATATAAATCCTTTTATCAAAATTTGTCGAAACATCTTTCTCTGTGCTATGTCATGAAAAGAAATACATCCTTTTTTTTTTTGTCTTTATATATTTATTTTTCAATTTTTTTAAATTATCCCCCTAGTACCTGTGGTACAGTCCACGATGATCATGGTGGGTAGTTAGAGACAGCTTTTACTCTTAAGTGCGCCAAATTTCAAATCTATAATCCAAATTATAAACACAAGGTAATAAGAACTAAATCCAAATAAATAGTGTGTGACATTTCTGTAACAGCGTTGTTAACAAAACATCACACACTATTTATTTATTTGGTCTTATTACCTTGTGTTTATAATCCATAATCCAGATTGCCCAGATGAACTTCAGAGGTCCAGGGTGCAGGCTTTAAACCTGTGGCTGTTTAAAAGCGGAATGGTTTGATTCTACCTTCTGGGTGACTTGTGTGTGCCTAATTATAATCCAAATTTTACGATAAAGCACAATTTAGATTATAGATTATAGCTACAAGAAAAAAAGACCTAATTAAAATAATCTAATAGTGTGTGATGTTTCGGTAACAGCGTTGTGAAACATCACACACTATTAATTTATTTGGATCAGGTCTAAATTTTCTTGTATTCAAATTTTACCTTTTTCACTATTGATTCTTTCATTGTTTTGTTCTCTCTCTCTCTAACCATCATCTCAAAATTTCTTTCTTTCTCTTCAAATCACTTCTCAACCTTTTGGCTAAGATCAAAGTGTATCTCTCTCTCTTTAAAGCTGTACAGTTATACTTTACACAATGTTTTTGTGTGTGTGTGTGTATTATATACAGTTAAACCTGTGCACCCCCTCTAAATAGCGTCTTCCTCTCTAAATAGCGCCCGATTTTAAATACGTAGTACGATGTGATTTACATTAAAAGTGACCTGTCTATAGCACCCCCTCTCTATATCACCCTATATTGGTGAGTCCCAAGAGGGGATGCTATAGACAGGTTTGTTGTTGTTTCTTATCCCCTTGTGTAAAGATTACACAAATTCCATGAGTTCATGCTCCTCGAGCTGTTTTATGATGGGCAGCGGCCTCTCCCAAAGGTCCTGTTTAGTGCATCTAATGCAAGCCAAAATGTGTTCTGGAGCTGCAGGTGCCAAGCTACATTTTGGGAAAGAGGGGTAGATTTTGTTATTATTTTCTATCTTCTCAATGGCTTGAGATGGCCTGTTCTAAATATAGACAGGTTTAACTGTATGAAAAGAAAGATATCTCCATATATCTATATTTATAATGATTTGTGTGTGCTGCTGGCAATAAGTAATGATATAGAGAGTATTCAATCCCTTGTATCAATATTGAGTAAAATATATCAGGCCTACAGGGAAAAGTGTCTTTTCAAAACATTTTTATTCTCTAGCTTTCGGATACGAACACCCTTCTATGTTATACCATGTAATACCATGTTTTCTCCTGTAGAAGGGTGTTCATGCCCAAAAGCTAGAGAATAAATATGTTTTGAAAAGATACTTTTCCATGGAGGCCTGATATATACAGTTAAACCTGTCTATAACACCCCCCCTAAATAGCGCCTCCCTCTCTCTATAGCGCCCAATTTTAAATACGTAGTACAATGTGATTTACATTAAAAGTGACCTGTCTATACCACCCCCTCTCTATAGTACCCTATATTGGTGAGTCCCAAGAGCTATAGACAGGTTTAACTGTATAACTCAATAGAGAGTATAATATGTACAGTGTGTAAAACTTCCAAATCATAAAGACATATCTAGAGGAATTAAATTGATAAGGCACAATTTGGATTATAAACACAAGGTAATAAGACCAAATCCAAATAAATAAATAGTGTGTGCAACACACACTATTTATTTTTTTGGATTTGGTCTTATTACCTTGTGTTTAGAGAAATTAAAGTTTAAAATAAAAGGTAAATCTAAAGGGAAAAATTAATCTACACATCCTATGAAAGATTGCATTGTCCTAATTTTTTACTTACCCTTGTTATATAGACTCAATATATATAGAGAATGTGTAAATATTTAAATGTATATCTGTGTAATATATATGTCTTTATATACATAGATTTTATTTATTATGGCACTTTATATATGTAAGTTTTTAGATCTATTCAAAATTATTTTTAGCAATTTTTTTTTTTTTTTTTTGTAAATTTTATTTGGTCTCTGGCCTTTTTTTGGTTTCATCTTCCCAAATAGAATGAAATAACTTCTCATACATAGGCTAAGTTAGGGTAATGTATGTTTACACTTAGAGATGATATAAAATGTTAGTCCAGAGTTACAGAGCAGAAGCACTTGTCCATATAGATCTATACTGACAGCAAGTCTTGAAGGCTGCTTGATGTGACATTTTAAAAGCTAAGATGTATAAGTTGATAAGAGATACCCCCCTAAATCTTGCATATAACGGTGTGTTCAATTATTCTGTAAACTGTAGGAGAGTTCTCTCTGATAACCAGTTTGTCAATTTTTCTTTTACAATTATTTTTGTTGGGCTATAAGTTGATGCTGGACTAGATGATGTAATAGTATAAGGAAGTAGTCAATTATCCCACTACATCTGCCGATTGAAGTGGATATATAGAAGCACGCGGAGGCGACGCGAACAACAGGAAAGTGTCTTTATTTTTTACTAAAAAGGGGGAGGGAGGAGGGACTGCCCGCTGGGCAGTTCGGTGATTGGCTGGCCGTGACGTAGTGGTGACGTAGGTCCTCTCAGGCGGAAGTGGGCATATTCAACATGCCTTCAATTTTTAATGTGGTATCTTTGTAGGAAATTGGTGAAAGATTATTATAATAAGACAGACTAGGTCTAGCCCACATCATAGGACAGTCAATTGTGGTTAGGTATTTACTATGGGATATACCACTGGTTGACATTTCTTTAATGATTAATTGGAATATATAAAAGCAACAAGGTTTACCTAAGTCAATGTGATGGCTGGACTTTTGGGAGAGGCCACTGCTTATCAACAGCTCGAGGAACATGGACTCAGGGAAATTGTGTAAACTTTACACAAGGGGGTAAGAAAGTACAACGAATGTGAAAGCTTCACTACCATTATTGTTACAGTAGAACCTCTATGAGAGGACACCTCTCTATAAAGGACAGTTTTGATTGTCAGAATTACTATTTTTACTATTTAACAATCTCTGTAAGAGGATACCTCTCCCTAAAGGACACTTTGGCTCTGCAATTAGGTGTCCTCTACAGGGAGGTTCTAGTGTATTTAACAACTTTCCGCTAAGAGGACACCTCTTCATAAAGGACACTTTTGCTCAGCAATTAGGTTACCTTTACAAAGAGGTTTTACTGTACCACCATCTAGAGTACTTAGCGCGAGATAACTTTTAAAACCTATTTATAAATACTGGAATCTATACAGTTCATCCAGTAGTATAGATGGGAGAGTGAAAGATGAGTTAAGATTATTCAAAGATGATGTGATGCCATTTCTTAAAAGAAGTTATTAACAGCTTCCTGAAATGTTGTACCCATTTGGCTTGAGTAAAAAGGATTTTGGCCGCCATTCTGCATGGTCTCATTCAGGAAAGAATTAGAAAACATTTAAAACAAAGTATCCTCACCAAGTACTCTAGTCCTGAGGACAATGCTGTCAATTGATTAGATGATTGTCAACTCTATATATTTGGCCATGTTAAGTCTGGTGTGGTCAATGTAATGACCAATGGCAAAGTGTAATTCCCTCAAAGATTCACTTAATATATGTACCTCTCTCTATAAAATTTTACAATGGAAGTTGTCATCAACTTATATTTGGAGCAGTTTTTGGACTATTAGAGCAGTTTAAATGGAATGTTACTTACTAAATATAATCTTGGAATATAATTATGGAACGACTACTGTAAACTATGTATTTGTAATATGACAGAAGGATGGTCATTCATGTACAAAAGCCACCTCTCCTTATTACCTAATGCATTAAAACAATACATTTATTTGATCTTCTCAAAGCAGAACTTGCAGATACAGATAAATGAACAAGCTATAACATCAGTTTTTAGGATGTTTTTGACCATTTCATAATTCCCGTAGGATGTGGTGACTTCCCTGTCTTGATGAGAGCAATATCAAACAAATACCACAGATCTCTGGAGATGGGTTTATCTTTATTAAACACGTAATCTCAAGCTTTTGGGCATCTTTGCCCTTCTACAGGAGTAAATAGAAAACATATAAATCCTGTTAAGATGCTAACTGGTTTATGTATCCAATTTTATTTCTTTCCTTATTGCAATACAAAAAAAAATTATTGTAACAAAATTAACATATTTTAAATATCCCAGCTAGCTGGCTAGAAAGGTGGAAAAGTAAAACTTCTATCGGCGCAGCTCTCACGTGACAGAACGGCACGATGCGCTGTTCCCCAAAAGCTGGCGCTATCTTCCGTGGAAGAAGCGAACCATTTGTTACACATTTATATATTAGGATGAGAGCAATATCCCAAAACTTTTTAATTTTTTTTTTGTTTAAATTTGTTAAAGCTGGTGATATGACTTATTCACTGATAGCAATCTGAACCTTGTGAAGATCAAAGGAATCCATTATTCTGAGGTGTTTATTATAAGGAACAAGTATATTTGCATATATCACTATATATATAGAGTGTATATAGTTCTATATTTGAGAGAAATGTATATCTGTGTATAGTGTACAAGTTTTTGAATCTATTCAAGATTTTTTGTAGAAATTTGTAAGTCTTATTTGATATCCTTTTATTCCCCCTAGATAGGATTAAAGATAATTTTCTATACTAGAAACTTTTTTAAAATACAATTAAACCTGTCTATAGCACCCCCTCTAAATAGCGCCTTTCTCTCTATAGCGCCCAATTATAAACATTAAAAGTGACCTGTCTATAGCACCCCTTCTCTATAGACAGGTTTAACTGTATATAAATAGAAACATATATTTTTAAAATTATATAATAGTAATTATAGAGTTTTTTTTTAATTATTTAATTATAATAATAATTTTTCCAATTATCTCTTTTATAAAATAAATTAATAAGAGTTACTATTTATTTTACAAATCTTGTCATTGGAGTCTAAAAGTGCATATCTTTTTAAGTAATTTTCAGAAATAAATCCTGGAATTTGATATACTGTGGTTTCTGAACCCTTCTTTACATTGGATAATAAAGAGTCTGACTATATATTTACTAATTTGATGTTTTTTTTTTAATAAAAAGGAATTTAAGAAATTGAAATGTTTTCTTCTTCTATTAATTATATTAATTTAAACTTTCACTGATATACTGCTATATAAATTCATTTGATAAAACCCATTATAAGAATATTTGCCTTTTGTGCTCTTTTTTTTTATAATTTCGCTGTAAATTTTGCTATTTATACAGTAAAAACCTCCCTAAAATGAACCTGGGATATAATGAATTTG